AAATAACCTATCTATTAAATATCCTATCTATGAAATGTCCTACACTATGAAATGTCCTATCTATGAAATGTCCTATCTATGAAATGTCCTGCACTATAAAATGTCCTATCTATGAAATACTCTATCTATGAAATGTCTTAGGTCATATTTGTATATCTATGACATTTGTCTTTCTATAAATTATCTTATTTTACACATTATATTATACATTCTTAAAATAGTTATGTAATATCTATATCATATTTAACGGTTCACTTTTTCAAATCTGGAATATTTTTTGATGTATATCATAATACGCTATAATTCTTCTGACGTATAATCACAAGTTCACAACTATTTTTTCAAACTGATAAATATCAGTTTAACGGGGGGAATTCTTTGCAGGCGTTTATCAAAGAGGAGACTTGTGTCTCTTCGACTGAGTTTGTTTGTTTGTAAAACTTCAGAAAACTAATTTTAACTTTGTTTTGTAAGAAAATCTATTAGTTTAGTTCAATATTTATACAATAATATAAAGGTTGGAAATCTATTAGTTTAGTTCAATATTTATACAATAATATAAAGGTTGGAAATCAAAAGACAAATATCGAGGCAATTACTTTTAACCGGAAAATAATTGGCAAAGTTTAATTTTCTTTAACATTCATGAGTTAAAGTTTAATTTTCTTTAACATTCATGAGTTAAAGTTTAATTTTCTTTAACATTCATGAGTTAAAGTTTAATTTTCTTTAACATTCATGAGTTGACTAATGTTTTCACTTTTACTTTAGACCTAATTACATCCGATTTAGCAACTTTTTAAACAGTATATATATCTATGATACGATTGAGAAAGATTATAGGTATTTCAGATAAAAAGGGGGTAAAATAAAAATGTTTGCAAAAGGACTATAAATTTATAAAACATGATGGACATTAGAAACATTAGAAAGTACAAGAAAGATATATACACAAAACAAATGAATTTTTAACTTTACCGATGAATCATTTAAATTATAACATTCAAACTAATTAAAAGTTTGTAAAACTGCAAGAAGACTTTTAAGCTAAAAACAATTTTGATACAAAATTTTCACATTATATTTGATAAGCAAAAAAATAATACTAATTGGTAGGATTTATTCAATTATGTAAATTTTTTGAAAATTGTTGAAAAAGGGGCCATGTACAAAAGTAAATCTGAAGTGAAGTCTTTCCCACCTCGCACACTCGAAGGTTGGAGTTTAGCGTCTCCCAATAAATATAGCTAAGGTTTTTTTTCTTATTTTCAGTTGTTTCAAAAAAGAGTAACTATAAATATATTCTATATTAATATCTTACGTTTTCAGAAATAGTTTAATTGCAAATTATATTGATTGGGTAAGGGTGGAGCAGGCATACGGTTAATTCATGAGGATTTGAATTCTTAAGGGGAAATGTAAAAGTCTTTTATTGAATTCTAGTAATTCCGTTGAAAACAAGTTCCGTCCAGATGTCGTCTTAATTTTTGTTCTGTTCTAATAGAATACAAAGAATTAAATTATTATACAGGGTGTCCCAATAAACATGGGAATTCAGTGACGAATTCGATATCGTCTTTTTAAATAATTCTTTGAGACATCTTCTTGCGGAGACATTATAGACACATCTTTACAGTCTTTTACCTTTTTCATAAAATAACTCTAGCAGACATAATAATATTATGGCTTTTGAAATTAGGTATTACAATGCTAATTCATAACAAAGACGATATCCAATTCGTCAATGAATTCCCATGTTTTTTGGGACATCCTGTAGATAAAGGGTGGAAGGGCGTCCCCCATTTTAACTCCCCCCTCTGCCGCCTCTGACTATTACAGCAGAATTGGAAGGGGAAAGATAAAGATTATTTAAAGTATGAAGTTTATAAGTAAAAAAATGTTCTCTTAAGAGTAAAAGTAATAAATGTATAAATAAAACAAATATCAGCAACTATTTAAAGATTTGCATTGTATATATGTATATCAGGGGCGTACGAGGGGGGGCCCTCTGAGAGGGGGCACTCACGGGGGGGGGCTCTTTTAATATTACATCTGCTTGCATTTCCCTTCCTCTGGCAATCTACATAGTACATTGCATTGCATTGCACTCACCCAAACTAAAAGATTAAGAAAAGAATTAAAATATATTCTGATTCACAACAATATCCTTCAAAGCTTTGTCTGATCAAGTAAATTGCATTAAACATCCCCTGTTTCCCATTTTGAAAACTGAATATTTTTATTTGTGGTTTCTCTACAAAATTGACTCGAGCATTTCTTGTTTCAGAAACGATGGAGAAATGAAGGTTTCAAAGGTACATCGGACATGCCACTCTATAAATGGAGGGTCACTCGAAATTAAGCATGTATTCCATTTAAGTGTAATTTTATCGTATAGAAAAAATACTTTAAATCTCACTTTTGCCCTTAATTAAAAAAGTTTCATTAAAAAAGCTTTAATCAATTCTGCCTTCAGTGTAAATATATATTTGATATCATAATTTATTATACAATATGTATTAATCCTGTGAAAATATAGATATTTTTTTGAAACGTTTCCATCTATATTTTTCATCCCTTGAAGCTTACACCACAGTATTAAGAGGGATTGCCAGATTTTGTGCCCCCCCTGGCAACATTGTGCCCCCCTTAAGGAAATTACATAAAGCATTTATTAACGATTGTAATATGGAAGTGTGTATATCGAATAGTTTACATAGTTGAAAAAGGTATCAATGATTTTTTTTAAAAAGGGGTTTATAAGGGGGGGGGGCACAAAAATATGCCCTCCCTCTACACAAATGCCCTCGTACGCCCCTTATATATATATATATATATATATATATATATATATATATACATAATATTGCATATTGATTGAAATAAATCCAGTCTTTTACAGATTAAATATAAAATTCGGTGATGGTGACGGACCAAACCTCTATAGAGTAAAAAAGTAGATGAATTAGTTCCACATTTATTGAAAATACATTTCGGTCTGGGTTGAACCACGTCAGTTCTTGAGATTGTTTCTGTCAAAAAGGTTCTGATTAAATAAATGAAGTAATGTGATCGAGACAGGCGCGTACACAGGATTTTAGCCAGGGGGGGCAAGATTTCATGCGTTGCGCGAAAAAATTTTTTTTGCCCCCCCCCCCCTGGAATTGTTTAGTTCAAAAAGTCAATTAACACCATAAAAATACATCAAAAAGACAACATTTTTGTGTGTTCTAACCTTGTAGAGTATAAAAATTATTCCTTTGCTCTAAAAACTGACTTTAACTTTTTAACTTTATAAATTTATAAATTTATCACCTCTCCATCACAGCTAACTAAATCAATAATCACAGCATAATTAAAAAGTTATATTTTCACTAATAAACAAAATTTCTTCTGAAATTTTTAGATAGAATTTACTCCATCCACATATTCACCAACTCTTATAAGTTTTAAGCTTCAATTTTCTGGGATTTGCTTGCACAAACATTTCAATGATTTTCTCAGTAGTGAGCCATAAGTGCAAGATCGTTAAGTCTGCTCTCCGTCATAGTGTGTAACATCTTGTCCGTCATAGTAAATCTTGTGTAATGAAGTATTCTCTTTAGACAATTCTCTTTCCTTCATTCGATGTTATTGTCATCATTGCATAAAGGGGAACTTGAAATTACGCTTAATATCTCTTTATAGAAATAAAGGAATAGAGTCTTTGCCACAAATTCTGATTTTCTAATTACTATATCTTAGACCTTAGATATTTCAAACTATGAATTCTGTCAGATCAAATATTCTGAATTTTAAATATCAAATGTTTACAACATCAGGTTCCAAAGGTTAGAATTTTTGAGTTTGTGGCAAAGACTCAATTCCTTTATTAATTGACTGTAAGAGAAAAAGAGAAAAAAGAATACCTATTACATCTTCCATCATGTTATGAGCATCTAATATGTCAAGGTCTCATTTTTGCAAAAGTTTTAGTTTAAAGTATCTTAAATTTTGTATTAACAGTGATTTAGACAACCCCTTAGTCTTTGTCATTGTCAGCTGTTACTTTTTAAATTTGTTTCAGCTTTTAATTTAGTGTTTTCCANAGAAAGCTTTAATATATAGAGGTTTTTGAAAGCTAGACCAGAAATTAGTGGAAAATTTAAATCAATTCCAACTAAAGCTATTATTTTATAATTCATCTTCGGTGGTTGTTTATATTGTCTATTCGAAAATTCGTAAAATGTATACCACCCCCTCGACCCTAGGAAATCTTTGAGTACACCCCTTAAGCTGCCTTTAAAGATTCCAGCGGGGACCAATATTTCGCGAAATTTTTAATTATTGATTTTTTTTGCATCACATTCCAGAAAAAAATGCGGGAATTGGAATCTGTAGGCTATGACTATTTGGTTGTAAATTGCAAAGAGGGGTGTAAATCGAAGAGAACTTTCCGTTCCGGACTGCAGCAGCCAGCATCATTACATGAAACTCTTTTTGTATGCATGTTTGTTGAAGAACACTGTACAGAATAAAAAAATAAATAAAAATTATTATTTCTTCATTCACCCCCCCCCCTCTCTCCCAATTCAATTAATTGTTTATTTATGGTGCTAATAATTAAAATGAAAAATATATGAGGCATATTTTGACCTTTGTCCTAGGCTTTGAAGGTTACCAACGCTCAGGGAGGGTTGTGAAAAGGCTAGGTAAGCATGGTACCGGCAAAAATAGAAAATAGTTCTCTTTATTTTCTTTTTAATTTGATGAGTTAAAAGAAGAAACTTAAAACTGAACCGTCAGGAAAATGTATTATTTAAATTTTATTGATTTTGCTTCACGTTTGAGTTAAAATTTGTAAATTTTGATGATGTGAATATTTATTGAACTGGGAATATTCTAGAACATGAGATCAATATATCCTTGAGTTTCAGAACACTAGAATTATATGTCTGCGCTCCCCTCTTCACAGGGCAGTGTTCGTAGGGTTTCCAGTTGTAAAATCAAGCAAGCAGCTTCTCTTACCACATTTTCAGGGCGTCCACAACGGAAACCGGCCGGTTAATCGATAGTACTTCAGTTAAACATAGCTTTTACTCATACAAACAGTAATCATGTCTACTCCTCGTGTTTTCTTTGATGTGACCGCCGATGGCGCTCCTGTTGGACGTATCGTCATGGAGGTAATTCAAATTCTGTGACCATCACTTTTTTTTCAAATTCTGTTTAGTATGTTAATGAATTATTTTCAATTTTTACCATTGTTTTATTCTGTAGCTCCGTGCTGATGTTGTCCCTAAGACTGCCGAGAACTTCCGTGCTCTGTGCACTGGAGAGAAGGGATTTGGATACAAGGGATCCACCTTCCACAGGGTCATCCCCAACTTCATGTGCCAGGTGAGATGTACAAAGATTTTATCGAATAGAAATATTTCTGGCATCGGAAGATAAAGCGTTTCTATAATTATTATTGTCGGTTGTTGCCTAAAGGTTTGTTGCATTGATTTTGAAAGACTTAACATTGATGCTGCAGCGCCCGGCCCCTTTCCTTGTCCTAACCTAACCTAAAAGTGGTCGTGTACTAAATTGATATGGAGAGGGGGGGGGGAGTCAATAACCGCCAACAAAGACTGACCCCATTATTTCGTGCACAGTCTGCTTAATTCGAGAAAAGGAAACTTTTTATTTGCTTTCTCTTGTTTCAAAATAGGTCAACCGCTTTCTATTTAAATAATCTTCAAACAGATCAGGCTAGGCTTTTAGTCTAAAAATATTATGTACGATGTGTTAAAAAGCTGTTCTAAGTTTAATGCTTCCCGCCCCCCCTCCCCCCCGCCCCTTTTTCCACGCTAATATTTTCATTAATAATGTTTTAGGGTGGAGATTTCACCAACCACAATGGAACCGGTGGAAAGTCTATTTATGGAAACAAGTTCGAGGATGAGAACTTTGCCCTGAAGCACACTGGACCTGGTATGCTAAATTACTTGTCGTTTTTTTTTAATTTGGAACTTGAAAGCTGTGTTGGAGAGTGTCCTACTGGTGCAGCTCTCTGCCCTTGTTCATTAAAAACTATTCATATCAATCGTTGCTTGGATCCATTTAATGTTGATGCGGAGCCGGATCTTGAATCCGCACTGGTATTAATTGTATCCAAATCCAGATCATTTCTTTACTGACAATTTTCAATTTTTTTTATAATTTTTTCGGAATTTTATCCTAAATCTTGAACCATTCAGAATTGAGGAAATTTTTTAATCTTATTCCCGTGGATCCGGATCCAGGAAGACAAAATCTTGAGGATCCAACTGATTCGGATCCTAAGCACTGATTTAAATAAATGAAATGATTTACTAATAAGGATTTGTTTGTTTCATGATTTTCTAAATATTCTTATTTTCTTTAGGTATCTTGTCGATGGCCAACGCTGGACCCAACACCAACGGATCCCAGTTTTTCCTTTGCACCGCCAAGACCCAGTGGTTGGACGGCAAGCACGTCGTTTTCGGTCAGGTCGTTGAGGGCATGGACGTTGTTAAGAAGGTAACTTGAAATAAATTTCTAGTCTATCAATTCAACCTGTCCATTCAACCTTTCAATTCAACCTGAACTTTAAACATTCGAATTGAATACATTTAGGCTTTAATCTGGATCGCATAATCTATAAAAAAAAATCTCTTTTTGGATATCCCTACTTTGTTCTGACCAATGACGGTTACTTCTTTTGAAGTTCTTAGCTTCTGGTTGGCTGCTCAGAGCTGGGAACATTTTGAATATCAGGATTAATGCTTGATCCACTCTTTTTCTTAACCTCCAGATTAAATATGGCTGTTCTCATGTTATTAATCTCCAGATTAATTAACCGATCGGGATTAAGGATATCCCATTCTAAAGTTAGCTCAGGTTTCTTTAAACTCTCATCTGCTGGGTTGAATTTTCTTTGGGAATCCAGATTTAATTAAGATCAATTAAAAGAGTAGATAAAGCAATGATTGACGTCCACAATTCAAAAGTTTTCAGCAATGACTAAACAATTTTTCAATTTGTTCAGGTTGAATCCTTCGGATCTCAGAGTGGAAAGACTAACAAGAAGGTCGTCATTGCTGACTGTGGCCAGTGTTAACTCTTCAATCCCTTCAACTTTTTTCTGTCATGGATTTATTGGTTTATTTTAAAACCCTGTAACACACTTTTTAACCATTTATGTGCATTTAATGCCTGCCACTATTCCAACACTTCGGCAATAAAGATTTGAACGTTAAAATTATCTTGAGTTTTATCATGATGTAGTGTTGTAGATAGGTTAACTTGGAGATAAACTTGAATAAGTCCTGCGCAGTATTGGTCAATTAATATTTTTTGTATTGTCAAATTTGCTTCAGCAGTATATATCGCCTCTTAAAGAACGTGAATTAACAACACAAACCATATCTAAAAGAGAGAATGGGCTCGGAAGTCTAAAATTTGAGACATCCTTTTTTCTTATTTTTTACAACTTCTTAAATTGTGAATATTAATTGCAGTTTTACAAAATGCTCAGATGTGTGATTGTATTTCTTTACTTAAGATACTCTTGAAAAATTAACCACAAAATTCTTACCCTGGTATTTCTAGAATGTGAAATGCCTTTTTATGCGATTTTAATCTTAAAAAAGATATTCCAACTCGATAAAGACCTGAATCTTCACAATTCTGAGGCCGTTCCTTCTATAAACTTATTGGTTCACAATTTGACGTCCCACATTGGTCGTCGTGTAATTATCATTATCATATAAGAATTTAGCATGTTACATCTAGTGGATAACAAATCGTCACTAAAAGTACTTAACTTCACGACCACTTTCTTGAACGGGATTACTTGAAGCACGAAATGAGGCAGACCATTTTTTGATTGCCATAATTAGGGGTATAGTGTTATCCCTAAAATTACAAATAGACAACAAACTAGGTTGACGAATAAATGCAAGAAATTATATCGAAGTAAAGTCGTCGTGCTACCATGATGTTTCGTGGAACATACTGTATTTGCAGTAACTTTGTCAAGATTTAAAAATGATCTAGAATTGCAAATTAAAGTATTGCATAGATTATAAAATATTAAATGAAATTCAACTGATTGTTAGTTTCTCAATTTTTCCATTTCAAGTTGAATTGAATGCACTAATTATCATGATCGAGAAATACTTTTGACATACAGGGTATCCCACGGAACTTAAAAGTTGGTGAGTGGTTAAAAATGTCTACCTCCTTAATTTAAGTTGTTCGCTATTAAAGAGAATAATTAAAAATAATTTATGGAATGGGAGTTATCTTAAAGCAAAAGACATAAGATATTTTGAACAAAATAAACCACATAAAGTCATTAATGTATAATACAGTAAATACATTAAAAACTGTCATGTCTTGTGGGACATCCTGGGTCTCGTGCTGCATAGCGTAGCGTAGTGCGTGTGGAGTGGGGACACCTCTCCCGACATTTTTAACCATTCATATAGACACAAAAAGCAATGTTGAAATAAAACCTTAAAAACTATTAGTAGACCTGTATTAAATACGCATTTAGTTCTTTATTTTAAAGGGACTAAAGGCAAAAAAGTTATTGGCTCTCCAATGGAGCGGGGGAAGGCAGGCAGCCATGAGCCACCACTATTTCACCTCTCGTACCACCACATTTGACTCTTCCGGGCAAAACTACTTTTTTAAATGGTTATTTTTAGGGCCTTAAAGTGTGATTGTAAAAAATCCAGCCACGTCACGCAATACATATATATTTAGATCTTAATATTTCAGTGTTAATATGTAATAAGGATTATTTCGCTTAATGTAAACTGTAAAACTTTTTTTTTGCAAATCTAAATTCGGATTTTCACAAAAATGGCTTATTTTTAAGAGTAATATCAATTTTAAAAATGATGCACCATAAAATAAACTTCAGTTTTGAAGGGAACCCTTGTGTAAAAATGTGCAATGTGATAAGAAAAAATGGCAAAAAAAACAGGTTTTTTTTACAAAATCTGTATCGCCTAAGTAATAACAGTAAATATTGTGATTTTTATAATATTTTCCTATTAATCTTCAGACTAACCTGAACAATTTGTTTCAGCTCCCACAATACGAAAATTGACTTAGTTTACCTGCTAAAATCTAAATTAAACTACCTCTTTTTTTACATTTTCAAACAACTTATTTAAATGTCGTCATTTAAATGTGATGGCTATTTAAGATGAGGTGAAGTGAGGTGAGTGATAAAGAGACTGGTTGATGAGGTTGAGAGATGAGATGAGAATTGCTTAATGAGTGATTTTTCGTTGTTTCTCACATACAGGGTTACCCACAAAGGATGAGACTGTCAAGACGATATATAACCCTAAATCACAATTCCAAGGTTAAATTAAATCTTCTACCTTGAATACAGTGGCGTAAATAAGGGGGGTTATTGGGGTTATTTACCCCCCCCCCCAGAATCTTGGAGGTAGATACCCCTGAACTATTCAGGTCCTGAATAGCGAGTTGTTACTTTTGTTTTTGTTTTTAAAAAGGTTGATTTTAAAATTGAATATCTTAAAGGAATTGAGTCTTTGGAACAAAATCAAATATTTAAACCACAATATCTTTAGAACTCGATGTTGTAAACCTTTGATATTTCAAACTCAGATTATTTTATTTAACAGAATTCATACTTTGAAATCTAAGGTATGCAACATTTGTTTCCAAAGATATAGTGATCAGAAAATGAGAGTTTGTGGCAAAGACTTGATTCCTTTGCGAGAATTTAAATGTGCAGATACTTCAGATATTTCAGATTTTAAGTCAACATATTCTAAATGATTCTAAATTCTAAAGTAATAGTAAATGTCACTACAATTAGATGTTTCTTTAATAGAAAAAAAGGGTATGGACAATGAAAAATACATTTTTACTTCTAAATAATGTCATTTCCATATTAGATTTATTTAAGATCTTAACATACTACATTGAGGACAAGAAAATTTTAGAAATAAGAAATAAGAATATAAACAAAGACAATATTTTTTCAAAGTTTTGCAGAGTAGCTTTTCTAATATTTATAAAAAGTAACATTCTTTTTCTCTTTAAGTAACACTATTATTTTTTATCTTACTTAAAATAAATTCAGTTTTTTTACAGATCTTTGTAGTTAATGTAAAATGAATGACTATAATGAATGAAGGATAAAAAACAAGGTGAAAGCTGAAAGGAATGAAATGAAGCCTTTATTTCATGGAGGATGTGAATGCCAGAAATGAGTGGAAAATGCAAATCAAACCCAACTAAAACCAATAATTTGATATACATCATGATATTTTTCTAGGGGGGGGGGGGGGGGAAAAAAAAATTTTGGGGAAAAAATTTTTAAATTTTTCCCCCCTACAGAATCCCTATTTACGCCCCTGCTTGAATACAATCTTTTAATAGCTTATATATCTATTAGGCAAAGAAAGAAAGATGTTTACGATTGCAGAGAAAAATAAATATAACTTCTCTGCAGTAGTCTCTGAAGTCTCATTCTTTGTGGGTAACCCTGAATGTCTGAACCTAACAATATATTTAAACCTATCAAATTTTGTTTTCTATAAAAAAGTTATGAGGAACGAAATTTCAATTGAATTGTAATGTGAGTGAGTGAGTGAGTGAGTGTGTATGTGTGAGTGTGAGGTAGTGAGTGAGTGAGTGTGAGTGTGTAAGAGAGTAGATTTGTGTTAAGTGTGTATGATGATGTGAGGGAGTGATGAAAAGACTGAATGAGTGATATGAGGTGAGTGAAAGAGTTATGAGGTGATTGGATGATGGAGGTCGAGTTGGTTAATGAGTGATTTTAAGATGGATTTAGCATGAGACAGTAATTGAATAATATTGTGATATTTCAAGATCCAATACTCAGTCAAATTTGTCAAAAATTTCATTGTAAAACAGTTTAAGAATTCAACACACAAAATATTAATTTTAAATAGAATTGAAAAAATCGTTCGAGTTGTGCTTTTTTGAGTGACGCGGCTGGATTTTTTAAAATCACACTTTAAAGGCCCTAAATATACCATTTAAGAAAAGTAGTTTTGCCCGGAAGAGTCTAATGTTAGGGTACGGAAGGGGAAATAGTGGTGGCTCATGGCTGCCGGAAGAGAAAAAAGCTAATATGTTGCAGGGAAGGGGAAAAAGTGGTGGATCATGGTCACCTGCCTTCCCCCGCTCTTAAGCTTTTTGAAAAATGTAAAGATTTAAATAATAATGTAAGTTTTCTAGATTTAATTCGAACTACAAAAAAGGTATTGCTTAAATCAAAGATTATAAAAGATAAAATGAGATTTGATGTATTGCGCAAGCTTAATTCTGCGTGTCTGCATAGCGGAGGCTCATGGCGTCCGGGGGTTCCCTCCATCCTCCACGTCCAGCATCCTCCTCCAATGACAATTATTTGGCTTTTACATCCACCGAAAGTCTGTTTTTGTTTTTCTTAATTTCGCTAATTCCTAAACTTGCACACAACGCTTTATTTAATAGATAGACACTTTTTATATAATTTCACATGGTGTATCATGTACGAATCTAACTAGATTTCCACCAATTTTCAAAAGATAATAGTTTTTGTAAAATACTTAATTTTGTGCCTTTATTGTATTTAATTATTCAAGTTTTAGGCCTTTTTAGAACAGGTTTTATTTGAATCATATCTTTTCCTTTTTGGCTTGTTTTCCCATTATTAGGTTTCATGACAAAGAATCTCCAAACCTAAACATATAAACAAAAAAATAAAGCAAAAGATACTTAAAAATTGTACAAAATGGAGACATAATATTTTTTAATAATAGCATATTAAACATTTTAAAAATATCACATGTGGAATGTGATGAAATAACATTGTCAAATGGTATTTAACTGGGAACTATGTAACTTGAGAGTGTAGAAAATGTTATTTTTTTATGGGTAATGTACATAACATTATAGTACAGTGTACTTAATGTTTAAATGTGATCATGAATCTAATAGAGCTCAAAGGTCTGTGGTTCTTGTAAAATAAAAAATCCTTGATATAGTGTTTCAAAGTTTCAACTATAGAATTCAACACATTATCAAGCAGTGATGTAAATCGAGAAATATCTTCCCCTGAAGCATGACGCGCTTTAGAGATACTCCTAGAGGAGGGGAGGACAGCCAGCCACAAAAAGTTCTCGTCCGATCCGCATTCTCCTCATTTTCTCGTCCGAACCACCTTGAAATCCTCGTCCTTCGATCATTATGTTTCTAGTTCTT